ATTAAGTGTTTTACTATGTCGGAAACGACAACAACTCATCGCTTCGGAGTTGGAGTTATTATATCAAAGAAATGGAAAAATTGTATTTTTAACTCGACTTCCTGTTCATATCTGCTCTTATCTGTATTTGTATAGAAAAATTATATACATATAAAGATAAGAGCAGTGCGTATAAATATATAATAAAAACTAACAAGAGGAAAATGGGTTGATGACACAAGATAAATTGAAGTAAATATGTCGCAGGTCATAAATAAAAAATTATCTAGAAAATTACAAAAAAATTAAATTAACAAATAGGAAAATAAATAAATGATAATTATATATAATAAACCAAAAAATAGAAAACGCAATAAAAATCGCTTAAGTTGAAAAGAAAATGAACTTTTGCGTCTACCAGAAGCTGAAACTTGATATTAGTCATACACAGTTAAAATTCAAAAAATACTTAGTTTACAAACGATATATTTAGTTATTTGGGATCTCAGGAAATCTATTCCCGGAAAACTCTGATGGAGACTTCAGAGAGGAAGTCGAAAGCTCGATATGTATATACATATGTATTACTCTGTATTTATAGGAAATATGACCAGCCATTTTGATTGTTTAGATTGGGCAATTGTTAAATTAAAAATCTTATTCTTGTGCGCGAAGAATCCAAGAGTCTTCCTGTATAGAAATATTGAGAATTCCACTGCAATTTTATTTTTTTAGGAGATATATATTTCGACCTTTGGCAGAAATCGGCGTTAGATCCTAACACATATATGAATGTACCCTTTGCGTCATAAAAAACTGGTACAACTCTTATAACCGAAAATCGTGTTTTTTAAGTTGTGTAAGTTGATCTTTTCACATATCTCATTCTAATTTCTATGGCAACGTTGACAGTTCAACACAATATTATATTAAATCAGCTAAAAGGAGGGCTGTGTGACAGACACATTATAAAATTACAGTAGATGCATTCTAATGTTCGTTATGTCAATACCCTACGTTTAAGATCCTTTAAACATTTTGGGCATTAACGCAACACTCTCTCTGGTTATTAAATATATTACATACGGTTTGTTGTTATAATAATATAGTTAATAATAATAGTAATACCTATATAAAAACTTTAAACATTTTTAACGTTCTTTTTTATTTAGATTTAGTGCAATTCCCTTATCTGTGATGGGAACAACGAATTAATTCACGAACCAAGCCTGAACACAGGTTTACATTGGAAAAAAAAAAGATACCAACAGACATACTAGCATTATATCTTCGCTTAATAGACAGAGATCAAAATTATATTTTCTCCTAGTTTCCTAATTAAAACCCGAATGTTTCCAATTGAATTTAATACTGTTTAAAATAACATACTGCGGTATCAGTGGTACGATAATCATCGTTTTATATGATAATTTTATCATTGTCTGCAAACTAGGATAGTTTGTATATGATAATAGCAAGATATACTATAATTTCAGTTGCTGCTATCATCTTCTTTAAGTTTTTGTCTTAAATATCTCGTGTAACATATAAAAACATTGAAATGAAAACAACATTTCACAGACACTAAACTTCAACATATTATTAAAGCAACGTTAGCAGTAGAATGGGAACTTTTTTACATATTTTTGGAATGGATTTTTGAAAAGAAATAAAAAGTTATCAAAAATTTGTACAGCGAATTGATCACAATGTACAAAATCTATTGTTTACTTACATAGACCCACAATATGTGAGACAAACTAATGTTAAAACAATTGATCTCCAAGATATTACAAAATTTGTCAACATTAACAACATGTATGTAGGAATTGGGGTGACGCAAAACATGAATGATTTACATTATGAATTAAAGCAGGATTTTTACGAAAGATGTAGGCGTTTCTTGATTACAGCTTGTATACAAAAAAAAACGATTTTGCAGATCCAGTCATGGGCAAGATTCTAAACAAAAAGTTACCAAAGTCTTTTGCCTATGTTAACTTTGACCTAGACTTGTGATTTGTTGACTCAGAAAAAGCTTTCGATAGAGTAAGACATGAAAAAATAATATCAATAGCTGTGAATAAGCACATGGACAGCAAAATTATAAAGGCAATCCAAACATTATATTGAAACCAAACAGCCGTAGTTCATATTGATAGGCGACAGTCAAAAGAAATAAAGATCTGCAAAGGAGATAGTCAGGACATCCCCGAGGATGAATCAAGTTCAAGTTCCTCCTCTGAGCTTTCAGAACTATCTTCAAATATTTGTTTCTTGACCTTTTCTACTTTTTTCCTTTCGATTTTATCAATTTTTCTTGTCTTCGTAATGCTTCGTTCTTCTATGGCATCTTTTTCGGATGTGTCAGTAGCTATAACACTTTTGCCCGTTCTTCACGTATTTTTAGTTTTGCGTTCTCCTGCTTTTGGAAAGCCCTTAAATTCTTCTTGGCTTTTAAAAACACCTGTGACAGTCTTGCCATTTTTATCATTCTGTTGATTGCTATTTTCAATGCTGGTGTCTAAGGTAGCACCATTTTTTATATCCGATATATATTCTTGAATATTATCACTCATGGATATTTTATTTGTTGATGTTGATGTACTTGGTAGATCGATGGACTTTTTTTTGATTACATCATCTTTTAAATCGCGAACGGTAACAGCGCATGGTAGAAAGTCTATATCTGTGAAGACATTGGCATCGTATGAATACATACCACACCTTTTGAATGCATTTATAATATTTCTCGGTGTGAGAGCTTTTTCATGAGCAAAGCCGACGCACTCAGCTACCTCATATATGGTGAAAGGCTTACCTGGATGTTGCATCATCCAGGTATCTGCAGATGCATTATAAGATGTTGAGAATGCTTTGAATACCCCCATATCTAGTGGTTGCATCTTATTTGTGGAATGATGAGGATATGTTAGAATTGTTACTCCGTTGTCTTTGGCCCAATTAAGAACACGAATACTAAGATGACTTTTATGATTTTTATAGATTAAAAGCAATAGATTTTTCTTTAGAGCTGTTAGAATATTTTATAGAATGCTTCATTACTTCTAAAAAAAGATTAGCATTCATCCACCCAATTGGAGAAGCAAACCCCAAAGTTCCTGATGGAAGTCTAATAGCATATGCTCCTTTAGATGCACCCTAGGAAAAACCTTTGCTGGTGGTAGGTATTGTCTCGTGGCATTAACGATGCAAAAAGTGGTAACCAATGTACCTCTCTCCCTACTTGTTACCTTGCTAACTTGCTTCACCCCTTTCTCATCAACAACCTTTGCTGATTTTTGAACCATCATAATCGCAGTCTCATCCAAATTGTAGATTCTTCTTCCGTCAGAAAAGCATCAATTCTTGAATATATATTCTTAAAATTTTGATAAAAAATTTAAACATTATGTTTATTAAATGACGTCGCACGGAATAGTCTACATCCTTCGGGAGTGCGAAGTGATAGTCGAACATGTCTTTGGCGAAAACCTCTGATCCATTTCAGCCCTGCTATTTTTCTTTCATGCCATTTGACGGGAATTTTTTTTTTATTTTCGATTGCTATTTCATAGGTACGTTTTTTACAATCGTGAACAGACAACACACAAAACATGCGTAAGCAGCTTCGTTTTCATATAGTTTTCTAGGGAATCTTCTGCGGATGTAAATACTTAATTAATACTGTAGTTGGGACTCATCCGTATTTGATGTATCCTAATGTCGTCAACGTCTCTGGCTTTCTCAACATATCTAGCCAATGTTTGAAATGGTATATTTTTTAAAGCAGCTACTTTTCTCAAAGATCCTCCTTCTCTGACCAGACTTACTCCTTCTCTCATTGTTTTCTCTGCACACATTGTCTCACTGTCTCACTGTTGGGCACGTGTAGTCGGCAGTTATTTTGTAACATGACTTATTAAAATTTATAGAGACAAAATGATTCCACTCTTGTAAACTACATAAAAAACACTTACCTTTAACTTAGGCAGATCGTCAAAATACTTTCTTTGACTTCCGAAAACACGAACTGACAAAACTTGAAAATAATATGTGTTTACTTACGCACGTGGAAATTAAATTGATTTAAACGGCGCGTCCATCTCTGCCAGTCGCGTGTTTAACAGTGTCGGCGCTTACTTGTTCGTATGTAAGGTTTTTACTCACCAATGGAAAACCTAGTCGGTCGCGTGAAAAGTGGGGGAGAATGAAATGTCTCACTGTAGGACCTGTCTCACTGTTGGGCTCTAGGCTCTAGGCACTATATGACTTTTATTTGTTGGGCTATTCCCTAGCTACAGTTTAAATCTCTCGCTAATACATCCCATCCAAAACAAATTGTTATCTATATTTTCGCTTGACTGTATTTTTTTTAATTATTACGTTTAGCCATTTCTAGTAAAACCATTTCTATAACGGCATTGTAAAATCAAAAATCATACAGTTTTGTAATTTGTCATTACAATTAAGTTTCAATAGCATTCCTTTAAACATCGGGTATTAAAAATGCATTAGATTAATATATAGATAATAGACAGAACATATAGATATATTAGAATAGATTATAATATATAGATAAGAGCATTTTCTATTAGTTTAATTATTACGTTTAGCCATTTCTAGTAAAACCATTTCTATAACGGCATTGTAAAATCAAAAATCATACAGTTTTGTAATTTGTCATTACAATTAAGTTTCAATAGCATTCCTTTAAACATCGGGTATTAAAAATGCATTAGATTAATATATAGATAATAGACAGAACATATAGATATATTAGAATAGATTATAATATATAGATAAGAGCATTTTCTATTAGTTTAATTATTACGTTTAGCCATTTCTAGTAAAACCATTTCTATAACGGCATTGTAAAATCAAAAATCATACAGTTTTGTAATTTGTCATTACAATTAAGTTTCAATAGCATTCCTTTAAACATCGGGTATTAAAAATGCATTAGATTAATATATAGATAATAGACAGAACATATAGATATATTAGAATAGATTATAATATATAGATAAGAGCATTTTCTATTAGTTCCTATTCAATAAACTAGTTATAGTTCCCGTACAGATAAGTTTTGAGTATATCATAAAATGTTTCAGAAAGTTTTGTGTTTGTGCTTACTTACTATTATAACTCAAACGGATTCTGCAAGAATTCTTGTGATAATTCCAACTCCCGCGATAAGCCATCAATCAGCTTTGCGACCGCTATGGACAGAACTATCTTTAAGGGGACACAGTGTGACTTTAGCTACGACAAATGTAGCAAACGACTCTCGATTAGTGAATCTTACCGAAATTGACATGGGAGATATGTATACAAATCCACTATTGTTAAGTCTTTATAAAAAAATGTCATTGGCAAGTAACTTTGAAGTGTTGCATTTAATAAACAAATTGTGTGACACTATTTTGGACCTTCAGCTATCAACTCATTTGAAACACCTGATTAGAAATGAAAGTCTCTTTGATGTTGTCATTGCCGAGCATGTTATAGTTGACCAACTAGCATTTGCTGATCTTTACGGTTGCCCAAAAGTTCTAGTGTCCTCTTTTGATGTAACATCGTTAATACACAGTTATGTGGGAAATCCTAGTAATCCTGTGGCCCATCCAGATTTTAACCTGGCACTTACAAGTGGCAAATTATCGTTTAAAGAACGAATCGTTAGCTTTATATATGTTCAAATATACTACGCATACAAGCTTTTAGTTTCCTATCCAACCCGGACTAACATCTTAAAGAAACATTTTGGAGATAAAGTACGTTCTTCGGAGGAATTTTACAAGGATATTGACTTACTCTTACTTAACGTTAATCCCATTCTCAACGAACCTAGACCTCTTGGACCTAATGTTATTACATTCGGAGGAGCAATCCATGTTTCACAATCCAAGCCACTACCAAAAGTAAGTACATTTTTTAATTATTTCTAACACTATATTGTTTTGGGGCATTTAATGCCTATTTCAAAGTTCTTGACACGTATATAGATCACGTTTATAATCTTAGTACCCAGTTAAAAAGTGGATTTAATAGTGGCTTTAGTAGTGCATCTTCTGTCATTATCTATACATGACCGTACTATATAAGTTGTTTTATACTAAAATCATTTACCATTGTGTGATCTTCTGTTATTATTTCTCTGACACGATCATTTGTTACTCGTAATCTTCTTTGTTTTCTTGCGGATCTTCGCCAAAAGTTCATTTCTGTGGCTTTTAGTATTTGCTCTGTTCTACTTTTTATTTGCTAGACTTCACCGCCATAACCTATAACGCTTAAGATTATGGTGCTATATATCTTTGTTTATTGGCTCTCAGCATCGTCTGATTCTAGAGGATCTCATTTAGTATCTCGATATTTCTCTCCTACCCTGCATGTTTCTATATCGTATTGCAGGGTCCATTGTACCATCATTTGTTATATATGTATAAGCCTAGATATTTAAAGTTTTTACAAGACCTGATGTGTTGTACTCTTTGTAATTTTAGGTTCAGTTTTACCCCTACTATGCACATAGTTTCTGTTTTATTAACGTTTACTTCTAGTCCCCATTTACTGTATTTTTCTACGAGTTTCCTTATTATGTATTCCAGATTATCGCGGTCCTATGGCATTACTATCTGATCGTCTGCGAAACATCGTATTTATAGGACTTTATTGTTGTTTTGTAAAATGCCCATTTCTTCATATTTCCTTTTCTATATTGCCAATGCTTCTTCAATATATTTTTAAAAAGTGTTGGTTAGTTGCAACAACATCGTTTTATGCCTTTGATTACCTTGATATTTTTTGAGAGTTTGTTCACTATTTTTACTCGAGCATGTCTGTATACTTGGAGAAGCTTTTCTATGACCTTAGAACAATAAAAGAGCCCACCATTGAAAAAATTCAGGTCCCGAAATCCTACCAGCAGAAATAACGGCAGCCGTCAGATAAATGAAGGATGGAAAGGCACCTGGATTTGATGAAATTATTGCAGAACTGTTGAAGCTGTTAGATGCAGAACAAATAAAAATAATAACTGAAATATTTAATTAAATATACAAGGCTGGAAAAATACCAGTAGAGAGGCTCAATTCGGAGTTTGTACCATTGCCCAAAAAACCAGGAGCAAAAATTTGTGAAGATTATAGGACCATAAGCCTAATGAGCCATCTGTTGAATCTGTTTTTAAAAGTCATCCATAAAAGAATTTACCGGAAATGCGAGGATCAAATTGCGCTCAATCAGTTTGGATTTGTGAACACCGTTGGTACGAGGGAAACTTTATTTAGCGTGCAGGTATTGTTTCAGAAATGAAGAGATGTCAGCTGTAATGTTTTTGCACGCCTAATTGACTATCAGAAGGCTTTCGATAGAGTCAGACATGAACAAATGATGGAAGTGCTGAAGAGGACAGGGATTGGCGGAAAAGACTTAAAAATAATAGCTAACGTGTATTGGAATCAATCAGCGGTACTCCGAATAGATAAAGAATATACAGAACAGGTCAAAATCTTAAGGGGAGTGAGACAGGAGTGCATAATTTCACCACTGATATTCAATCTGTACTGGGGGCACCTGTTTGAAGAGGCTATAAAAGATATTAATGAAGGCATCTCAATAAATAGAGTCAAGCTGAATAACCTGCGGTATTCAGATGATAAAATCAACAGATTAGGAAAACAGGAATATGTATTAACGGAAAATACCTAAATCACCTTAGATATGCCGATAATATACTCCTGATCTCCTCGGAACGACAAGAACTGGAATTAATGCTGAATGAACTTCATGAAAAATCACTGCAAAAAGGCCTAAAAATTAACTTTAACAAAACAAAAGTAATAACAAACACGGAAGACCAAGAGGCAATAAAAATAAAAACAGAAAAAATAGAACAGGTAAATGAGTATATCTATCTAGGACAAAATCAGAGCTAATAGAGAAAATCAAACAGCCGAAATATCGAGACGAGTAAGAATGGGATGGGGAGCGTTCGACAAATTTTCTTACGTTCTAAAAAATCAAACAATCCCTCTATGCTTACGAAGCAAGGTATATAACTCCTGTATCATACCGGTGCTCACCTACGGAGCACAGACATGGACATTTACACAGGCCAATTTGGATAGGATAAGGAAGGCACAAAGAGCGATGGAGAGACAAATGTTGGGTGTATCACTTAGAGATAGAAAACGTAACCAGTGGATCAAAACCAGAACAGAGACAGTAGACGCGATAGAACAAGCAGCAAAACTGAAACGGAAATGGGCTGGACACAATGAACGTCTCCAAGACGGACGATGGAACAATGCCATCGGAAAGTGGCGTCCATACAATGCAAAGAGATCAAGAGGTAGACCACAGATGAGGTGAAAAGATGACATCAGGAAACAAGGAGGTCCCACATGGCAGAGAACAGCTCAAGATAGGGAAAGATGGAGAGAACTGGGGGAGACCTATATCCAACAATGGAAGGATAGAGAATAGGTTCAAAAAAAAAATTCAGATGATACAATGGTGTTTTCCAATACCATAGAAGGGCTGCACAACTTAATAAACAAAATAACGGACACAAGTAGAAAATATGGACTGCATATAAACCCCAGCAAAACCAAGCTAATAATCATCAGCAAGGAAAACATAACTGGAGCAAATCTGTATGTAAACCAAATAAGAATTGAACGTGTCTCACAATACAACTACTTGGGAACTATAATCAATGAGTCGTAGGACAATACTGAAGAGATTAAATGTCGCATCGGAAAGGCAAAAAGTGCATTCTGACTATAAGTTCTGTGTTCAAGTGCCATGACCTCACCCTAGAAATAAAAATAAGGCTCTTTAAATATTATGTGTACTCAGTGCTTCTGTACGAAGTAGAAACGTGGACATCGAAGGCGGAAACTCTATCAAAACTTCAGGTTTTTGAGCTGTCGTCATACAAAAGGATCCTGAAGATGCCAAGGACAGACAAAGTCACCAATGAAGATGTACTGCGGAGGATGAACACAAATGCTGATTTGGTCAACATCGTGCAGGGCCGTAAAATGCAGTACTTGGGACATATAATGGGAAATCAAGGCAGATACGGGCTACTTTAATGCATTTTGCAAGGTAAAATTAAAGGGAAAAGAGCCCCAGGGCGAAGAAGAATATCTTGGCTTGCTAACCTTGAGAGCATGGTATAAAAAGACCTCAACACAGCTATTTCGTATAGCAACCAACAAAGTCATCATAGCCAGAATGATCGCCAACGTTCGGAACGGACAGGCACCCTAAGAAGAAGAAGAAGATGTCTGTATTATTATATTATATAGTATATAGTTCTTTAATTGATTGCATTTAGGATGTTTAAGTTAATATTGCTTAATTTTAAAGCTTTCCAGATTCGTTTAAGGGGGACACTATCACATGTTTTTTTAAAGTAGGTGTGTAATAAAAATGAACCTGTTGGTTCCTTTTCTTTTGTATTAGTTGCGTAACGCAAAATAAGTACTGAGTGCAGAGTTACAGAATGAACCAAAGTGTGGTTTTTTTTAATGGAACATCCTGTATATTAAACTACTTTTGAATATATTTTTTTTAATACGAACAGTTTATATAAGGCTTTATAGTATAAAGTTATTAATTTTCGAAATATTTACAGTTGTATTGAGAAAAATTATTGAGCAAAAGATTTAAAGTGCTGTGGATTAGGTCTTCAAGGAAATAAAAATATAAACGAGATGTCAATGTTTTTCTAGCCTAGTGTTTTGATTAAATAAATTAGTATCTTTGACATCTAGCCACACAATATAAAATTGGATCAGTCCAGAGCTCGGATTTATTGCCACAAAAATTAAAGAGAAAGGCTCCTATTTTATATAGGTAACGATTATTATTTAAAAAGTCAGAAATCTTAAGACATAGGCAACATAGGCAAAACCTTATTATTTATTATGCAAAGTAAAGTAACTTAATATAAATATATTTAAACATTGTGACCACTTCAAGTTTTATCATTAATAGCTATAACTAAATGCTTTTCACTATTTTTGGTATTAAAACTATGTCTTGGATCACTTAAAATTAATTTGCATATTAAAAATATGCGTTCTACATCGACAGATGTGATTGAAGTATACTTCAGAGCGGATAATAAATCTGGCTTGATTTATAATCCCTCGAAAAGTGTTTAATCCAAATTTTGATTAACATTAGATAAAAAGAAAAAACCTTCATTTTTCGCAAAAGCATATTTCATTTTTTTTTATTTAATTGACCATTACTTCCTGGTGCCGATTTAATTGGCTTTAAACTATCTGCTAATACTACTGACTCATATAAATTCACATCACATATTTCGAATAAGATAATTGTGGTAACTGTTAATTTATAATTGTTATTGATATAATGCGATTTGCTGTTTTAATTCTTTTATATTTTTCTACTTCCTTAATGGCTTCGGAAGTATTATCATCAAATTCTGATATTACTAATTCTAATCTAATTCAGTGCAGTGTTCGAGGTAAAAAAAACTGCTTCGAGTCATCTTCTCCTTCTTGTAATTATTGGTAGGTGGTAAAGGAACACCGGGACGTCTTTCTTTATATATCTACACCATCGTTCGTTGGTATTGTTCAAAATCTAATCATTAAATTAGCTATATACCTGTCGCATAAATCTGCTTAATTTTTGAAACACATACCACATAGCATTTTGCTTTTTCGATGTTTGTTTTCATAGTTTGTTTTTTCGATGTAACGTCTGGTTTCCTCTGGTAAGGATGTATTAAAATGTTTTTTAAAAAGAATTTAAAACTAGAGTAATTATAAAACTTTATACAGGGAAATGTTGGATTCAATCATAATTTTTTCATTTTTTATTTTTTGAACTGCTTAAACTATCCAGCAGAGAGATTTGGAGTTATTTCCCATTA